TTTTTTTTTTTTTTTTTTTTTTTTTTTTTATTTTTTCATTTTCGTTATTCTTTCCATCACTGTTTCAGAGTTCAGCCTTCCAAGCATTGACTCATTAAGATACTGAGATTACTTTTAGGGTGACTCTCGCACAGGAGATTCTTCTCTGTGATCATACTCTCAGTCAGCAGAGTAGGTGTGTATCACATTTCTTATTTGTACAATAAAAAGGTCACATTTCAGTTTAAGCAATAAGTTTTACCATACTTTTAGAACACATTTTCAAAGATTTTGGGGAATCCTGGATGTGTATTAGACTAAACAGCTAGTCAGCTAAAGCTGTGATAAAAACTTACATTTATAAGGATGTGAATTTATAAAGATATTTATAAGGAGGTGATTTTTAGATCCCTGCGTTGCCTTTGTCATTTTGCTTTCAAACAATTGCTTTACTGTATGCTGAAGGACATAAAATTTCTACTAGCCTAGTGGCCAAATATCTCGTGCATAAACATCCTGAAGACAAGTATTAGATGATATAGCTCATGTTGCTGCCAGTTGTCCCTCTGTTATTATCAGTATTTTTCTTAATAATGTGTGAATTAGCATATATATGATCTTTTGAATTCTAGTAGGGCCTTTAACTCTTTTTTTGGTGCCCACTGTGCAAAGTGTTACCCAACCTTGTGGACTAATATGGATTTCAGGGAGACTATGACAAGAGAGCAGTGTGCATATGCCTGATACAGGCTATAATTTTTTGTTTCTGGAAAGAATTAGTTCAAGCATAGCAAGGAATTTGAAGACAAAGAGAGATATTTAACAATATCACAACAATAACATTATCACAACCGATGGGCAACTAAACCACATGCTTACAATTTTCCTTAAATGGGATCATTCTAGTTCTAAAAGGAGCAGCTTTGTTAACCTGTAAAAGTTAAGATTTTTGCTACAGCTTGCTATGAAGAAAAAGAAGTCAAGAAAGGCAGATGATGAGACTGGAGGAGAAAAGAGTCTTCATGTTATTTCAAATGTTGTCAGTAATTTTTTTTTTCTCCACATTTTTAACCTTCCTTTTTTTTTTTTTTTTTTTTTTTTTCAGTAAAAGTTTACTTTCACCTCACATTTAAATTGTTAGCATGAATTTCAAACTCAGTAAAGCCACAATAAGATGAGAGTGGATTCCTGTTAGTTTTGGCTTAGCTGTACACCAGGTACCTGAAATTTACTTGCTTCAATCTTTCTATCCTCTGACATCTAAATTTATTCAGCTGAACATATTAGCCTTTTAGCAAGGCACATCGCAGGATGTCAAAAATAGCATCCTTGCTATTTTTAAATTCTCCAAAGCTTGTGTGGCTTGGAAGACAGTTTTCAAATTTACTTGGTGTCTTTGATTACATAAAATGAATGTGATAATGAATGAAGAACATGTTACATTACATTAACAAATATGTAGGAGTTGCTTTGTTTCCTGTTTTTCTTTGTCTCTAACACCATTCCTTTATTCTGTGACAATGAAATAGGTGCATAATATTCTGTCAAGAAAGTATATATCCTGTACTACCAGCTGATACAGGAATAAGACTCTAGATGAAAACTAATTTAACAATGCTCTAATGTGATCCACTGGATCCACAGCATTGTGATAGCTATGATTTTTAATGTTGCATTTTAGCCTTCATTTAATAGGGAAGCTATTGGCATAACTGCTTAACATATGCAGGAAAAAGTACAAAATAATGCATTATAATTGTTTAACATTCTAAAACTGAGAGCAGCATAATGAAAGACTACACCTTGAAAAAGGTGAAAGCCCATTAAGTTTTATTTCCTCAAGCTACTAATTTACAGTGGTACTAGTTGAATACAGTGTTAGTAATCTCTGACATGGGTGACTGTACTTGCACTTTTACAGCTGTTGCACTGGAGCATTCTCAAACCATTTTAATTCTATATAACTGTTCTCATTCCATAATAAAAGGAACTAGAAAGAGAGATAAACCTCACGCTTAGGCCTATGATAGTGGCAAAACCAACCATCACTTCAGCTTCTTCCTCCTGGTCCTTCAGGACAACCTCTAGACAACTGTAACGTAACCTTCTAACTAATGCAACAATAGGTTCAGAAGTACATAAACTGCAATGACATGTCACAGTTATATTAGAAACACATAACATTACTTACTTGAGGGCCTTGCTGTACACCAGGCAACAGAGGATTCCCAAGAGTATACTTCTTTGCTCGTTCAATGCTCCGCTGAACAAACTCATCATAAATAGGCTCTTCCACAAAAATCCTAGATCCTGCTATACAGCACTGTCCCTGGTGGTAGAACAGACCAATATGTGCAAATTCCACAGCGGTGTCCACTGCAAAGAAATGCAGAATTCATCGGATCATAAACTCGAATGGTTGTGACATAAATTTAAAAATCTTTGTCACTCCACCTCATTACCCTTTTTAGCACTTTTTATTTTTATGACCATTTAAAACACAGATATTCATCCCTTCACTTATGTCCAAAACTGTTCTTATCAAGAGTAACACGGTACACCTATACAAACACACATTCAGTTGTTCTATGTGAAATGTAGATTTAAATGCAGATTATTTGCCCTGTCAGCAGTACTAAAAGAGGTATTCAGCTGAAAATATAATAAATCTGTATAAGAGCTGTCTAGCCACTTTTGGTTCTGCACTAATATTGCCTTAGAATGATCCTTAACTAAGTAAGGGTGGACAGGTATTTAGAGGTTTATATTCCTTCAGAAGCCACCATTTTTTTGTGGCACTCAAGCTCAAAATTATGGCATGACCAGAATACATTAAAAATTATTCCATCAGTAAACAGGTACAAATAATTTACTGACAAAGAAAAAGAACACGGGACTTATAAAAGTAATAGTTTTATATAATAAAAATGCTACTAACAGTCTGCATCCGCAAATATAATGTTAGGACTTTTCCCTCCAAGTTCCAATGTAACTCTCTTCAGATTGCTCTTTCCTGCTGCTTCTTTAATCAGTTTTCCAACCTAAAAGGTAGAGAGAGGACAGCTTCATGTCAAAAATTTTCATCAGTAACATGTCTCTGAGTTTCTCAAAACTGTAAATTGATTCAGAGTTGTCTACTATGCCAGTAACTGTAGAAATGATAAATAAATAAATGAATAAATTGAAAAGAGTCAGGGTGCAGATAGCTTGCAGCCTATGAACCAGAATGCTTTCTAGAAGTTTCCTCCTGGACACACTCATGTTAACTGCCAAAGATGTCTGGTTCTTTTTTGGTTACCACTACTCTACTTGCTTGTGTCTGTAAACCAAAGTAGACACTGATTTCTGCTTTGCCAGTTACCCCCATTAGATTTTATACATGGGGAAGCCCTTTGATGCACAAAGTATGAGAGAAAAAGTAGCTATCTACACTGTCTGCAAGGCCAAGTCTGCCTTATTCCAGTTTCTCCTTTAGAGAAAAGAAGAGGAAATGGACACTGCAAGGCAGAACCCCTACCCTGCTTCTTTCCTTTGATGGCATAATTAAAGTAACTGCTTAATATGAATTGTCCTGGAAAAAATGACTTTTTGTCTGTAACTGCTTGTGTGCTTAGCAACCATCAGATAGCTTCCTTCTTCTGCCAGCCTTCCTGTCTTCATTTGTCTCTGCTAAATTACACTGTAGGAAGACGACTGCCACCAAAGTCTATGAATATACCCTATAGTCCACCTCCCTTTGGAGGGACATGGAGCACTGGGAATTGTAGTTGTTACTGTCCATTGGGAACATCTGGGATATTTCTCATATGCTGGGTTTTTTGATTGTTTTATTTTCCTGTTATTTTAGAGCTAAAGATTTTAAGAGTGAACATAGCTTTTGCAGTCAGTGTGTACTGATCCTTGACATGAGGTAATGATATTTATCTTTGAAGTGTACATCCAAGAATTTAAGAGACCAGTTAGAAACTCTTCCATGTAGCATGCTTGCAGACAGATAATATACTTTGTTAAGGATATAGTCATATAATGTCTGCACTTAGAAATCTTCGGTCATATCACAGTTCTTCAGAGTGAAGATTAGGTAAAATTAACAGTGACCTTCTTTTCAATTGTTAAACTGATACATATTCAAATACACTTCTACAACCATCCAGATGATCATCAGTATTGTTCACATACCAAAAAGCCATCACCTCACCTAAGTGTGTGAAGAACCAGGAATGAGATTTTTGAAGTACCTTCCTATCATCCTGTTGTTACTACAATCAAAGAGAACGGAGCACAGCCTGGTTTACTTTTTGCATTTTTAAAAATAATTATTCTTAAAAAGAGAAGCAAATAAAAAGTTATGAAAGTATTTTCTTTTTAAAGGACAAGACTTAAAATAGCCTCAGTATATTACAACCTATTGTATCTCATGGAATGCATTTGTTTGAAGGGTTTTCCTGTAATGCAAACATTGTTTAAATATGTTTGAAGTTAATAATAACCAACAAATCATTAAGAAGACTTTGTTTAACAAACAGAAGCCAAAAGAAAGGAAAAAAGTTAAAATAGTTACACAGAACAAGTTAGACATTAAATCATTACTGGGAATCAGAGGGGCACATTTCCTGCTTGTATTTTCTTGCATTCATTATAGTACCTCTGTAGAGCCTGTGAAAGCTACTTTATCTACATCCATATGGTGAGAAATTGCTGCTCCAGCAGTGGGTCCAAAGCCTGGCACAATGTTCACAACTCCAGGTGGAAATCCTGCCTGAAATGGAAGAGAGAACCCTGTAAATTCAGGGAAGGATAATGACTAGAAGCACATGTCTCATATAGTCTTCCGTTTTCAGTTCTCCAGCTACCTTTTCTCAGTCATATAGTTACTCTCAGCCGTAGAGCTGAAAATGTGTTAATTCTCACATGAATTACACTCTCTTTCCTTCACCTGTCTTTTAGGCTATTGAACTTACTCTTTTTATAAAAAGAACATTTTATTTTAGTTCTTTTTCAGTTCCATTGTCAAGGAATTTTTTTTTTTTCCTTTTCTCTCCCAGTCAGATGTGTAAAGAAAAAGATTACTTAAATTCATGTCTGCTTTATTAAAGGTATTTGAATCACCCTGGGTGCTTGCTGACTTCTGTTCATTGTCCCTCATGCTAGATGGAATTTCATTAATGATCTGCTGATTTACACTGAAATTCTATTAAGAAAAATGATGGAAATAGTACTTCAAACTCAATGATTTGTTTCTTTCTCTGGACATGGGTTGAAAGAGAGTGGGCAATGTGAGACTTTACAACACAAAAGAGGCAGATCAGCTAGCAAGCATGAAAAACCTGGCTACTTGAAATATGCACTGTTCCAGGATCTTGCAAATTTTCTACTTAAAGAGGCTTTTCCTGTAAGTCAAACCAAACCTATTGTTTCCCACCAATTCCATATTATTTATGTTCCATTTATGGGCAAAATAATTTATTCTATTCCAACAGCTTGTCAGGCAAACTTTCATGGATGTGTGAAGTGCAGCTCGATTTCCTGTTGGCTTATGAAGCATCTATGGCTTCTCAATGGCACTTGCAGAATAAGCATAGAACTAAAAGACCAAAAAGATGCATCTCCTGTATTATCACTTAAATGAGTCTACTTTTAGCATTAAACAGGACTTTGAAATTACATGCAAAGATTCCATTTTCATTTGGAAAATGGTGAATTTGAACCGGTGAGTCACAGCTCCTAAACCTCATGTCCTGTGTTATGGACACCAGACAATTACTTCTGTTTGAGCAATCTCAATTCCTTACAGGTTCATGCTCAGATATATTCTATCAATGCTTTTTATGCTCTTTAATATTTCAGATTAATATTTTTCCTGGAACTGATGAGACAGTGAGGTTCCTTCCATTTGCACAGCATTGTGTTTCTTACTTAATTTGTAAAGAAAAAGAAAAAGATGAATATTTTTATGGGACTAATTCACACTGTCTCACTTAAGGCATTGAATTTCCATGTCTGTATTAGAAGCTACTCTCTACATATTAGCAAAGAAGCCTTGTGGCTGTTAAGAATGGTAGTGAGAATTACCAAAAGTGACTATATATATTTTTTTTAATATGGACACTTGAGAAGTATAAAGTTAAATTAGGTCTTCAGATAGTTTCAGAATGAGTGTAAAGCAGCTACTGAAGTGATCACTGAGGTTTTGATTGCTATCAGGGATTTGGGGTCCAAATTTATTTGGCTGATCTGGGTGTAAATTAAAATTCAGCTATATTTGGGTGAATAAATCTTAAAGGTCTCGATAAGATAAATATTGACCTTTATTTAAAGCTCCATAATATTTACCAGATAACACACCAGGGACATTTAACAATTGTATGCTTAACCATCTCAGACAATTGAACACTGAATGGATGGGTAAAATGAAAATCATCTTGCTTTCTACTAAAATGCTCTAGTGTTATACCAGTCATTACCACTCTGTAACCATTGCAAGTGTGCATACAAAATGGACCACTGATCACATTCCCACTTATGAACTCTCCTTCCACAAAATCAGAATATCAGAATAGGTGTTTCATTAGACTTGGAGCAGAACTGAGTCACCCTGTAAAGTTGCTTTTTCAGAGAAACATGCTTTCTGATACTTATTGTTAAAAATAAATAAAGAAGGTATCTCTGATTTTTTTTTTATTTTTTTTTTTTTAGAAAGCAGTTTCTGCTCCCCAATATTATCTAATAACGTTTTACTATGTGATGCAATAACATCAGGACTTGGCTCCTTTCCCATAGTAATTTAGTTTCTGTGAAATATTAATGCATAACCAGTCAGTATGCTCTGCTGAATCATTGTTTTGAAGCAGAGTAATAAAATATGCCAAGTCATTTCCATTAATAGTTTGCAAGATTACTGTGCTGGTGATTATTGACATCTGCACAGATTCTTCAAATAAGTTAGATTACATTTGTTGATTTTATTGAGAAACAAGTTAGCTAAACTATTTAGCTGTTCTTTGTGTGTTTGCTGGGCTGGGCACAATAGTCAATGTAACTTTGGAGACACTGAAGAAACTACCACACTCCTTGTGTTCAAGAGCACAAAGTGTATTCTCCCAGTTTCTGTGTGAAGATAGTTCACAAGTTTGGCAGCAATCACCAGTTCAGTTTTACAGCTCTCTGTTAATAATAAACCCAGGTGGATGAAAAGTTTATTCAATTAAAAAAAAAAAAAAAAAAAAAAAAAAAAAAGGCTATGTCCTTTTCTGCGATAACTTTGCTAATAAAGTCGTTGCCACCCACCTCTGAGTGCTGTGTTCTTGACTTCTTATTTGCTTTTGACTTTGAAAAGTGCTGTGCTCTTGTAATACAAATATATTTACAAGGCATGGAGTTTACTAAATTGCTATTGTGGGTCTTTTTGTGTGTGTGTAGACTAGGCTGAAAGATATGAATGCTTTTGCCCTGGATTTGCTTCACTGGTTTACAGTAAGGTGAATTCCATAGCACAAAGCTAGACATGCAATGAGAATTACTTGCACATGACACCCTGTCTTATGTTACCTCTGTGGCATTTTAGCTGCAGTATACTCTTACATTTCTGAGAAGGGCAAAAAAACTCTGTTGTTGATGACTTACCTCTTTAATTAAGGATCCCATGTAAAGGGCAGTCAGTGGTGTTTGTTCTGCTGGCTTGACAACCACTGTGTTTCCACAACAAAGGGCAGGGGCGATCTTCCAGATGAACATAACCAATGGGAAGTTCCACTGAAAGACAAATGAGAAGGTGTATCCTATTTCTAATACATCACCAAAATTCCTTTACTTTTTCTATGATAATAGTGCAAATTGTCAACTGGGTGGTTGAACTCTTTGTTTAACACTTTTCAGAATGAAGATATTTTGAAAAAGAAACTGGCAAACCATGTCGTACAAAGAGTAGTGGTTTTGGTATATGTGAGTGCAGGAGATCCAAGGTTTTAGTTAAAAGCTCAAGAGACAATATGTGTACTTCTCTCACAACGCCTTACAGAAAGTTTCTGGATTAGTGGTGAAATTGGGAGTTCTGCCATCATAAATGATCACATTCATCATCAATTCAGTTTTATAAAGGAGGCAAGGTAATAACATGTAATACTGCCTGTGCCCTCTTTGCTGGAGGTTTCACTGCCAGCTCTCTATTGTGGTCAGTCCAGCCAGACTGCAGAACAGCCGACTCCTTTGGACCCCATATTCAGCAGTACAAGGGACAATGTGGCTGGGGGAAAAATAGATTGACCCTTTGAGAATATTTCTAATAGTTTTGGAAGCCCTGACCCCGTGATCCTCAGCAAAAAAGACACAGTGTGCCTTACCTTTGTGAAAGTGGGGAAAAAGGCAGTTAACAGTTACCTATTATGTCAGAAAGGCTTGTAGGAGTATACATGCAACTGTTATTTATCTCTCTCCTTACTTCAGGCTCACCACACTCTCAAAAAGTACAGGAGCACAAACAACATAAAGTAAGGGATTACAAAGTTTTCTGGATCTTCATCATTGAAGTGGAACTGTGTGAGTGGAAGGTAAATGGAAATGATGAGCTAGCAAAAGTGTTTCGCATCATTCACATTGTCCTCAAAGATTTGGTTTACATAAAACCCTCCAACTTGGTGGGTTCCCATTTCAGTGGAGAGAAGATAAAGATATACCTAAGAGTCATTGAACATTTTGTAAGGGAAGTGTTTTAACTAACTGCTTAAACTTTCAAGACGTAATTTTATTTAGAAATGGCCACACCTAGTGTTTCTAGTTCTTTAATGTGTCTTGAATCTGAGTGCTTTGCTTGAAATATCTTGTGCCTGACTTACAAAAGAATCTAAACCAGCAGATTCCCAAGCTCTTCTGGAGGCTGGATCCAAACATATTCTAGTGATGTTCTCTAAATCAATGTGGTGGTCTAAAGAGAAAACAAATATGCAAGCTCAACTAAAAGACATCAGGAACATGCGTGGGACCCACATGTCTAATCAAATCGGACAATCTGATAGACAAGCTGATTGAGAGTTTGGTACGGTGTCAGATGTCAGGTCAGACGGCTCACCCCTACCATGTGGAAAAAGGTGGGTAGATTAGGAGTATCTAGTACATATAACCATTTTCAAAGCAACTCATTTGGATGTTCAGACTCAAGCAGGCCTTTTGAATCATCACTTAATATAAGTGACACCGAACAGATGCTTGGGAAGATATGACTCAGAATCACTGTGCTTATGGGACACATTCTTTGTGTTGTTATTTGTACCATTAGCATGGTAAATGAGTGTTAGTTATAGATAAAGATTCAGCTGTCTGGATGCTGTACAGAGCAAAACAGATAGTCCAGGTCGTAAAAAGCTTATTGGTTATAGGCTGTTTATATTACACTCTTCTACTTTTTTTATTTCTGATTATTATCTAATTCTAATTCCAACAAAACAAAATTCTGTCTTTCAAAATAATCCATCAGACAATCTTTTTAATTTTTTTCCTTTCATATGCAGGGAGAAGAGAGACAAGGCTGGACTGGTCTGATTCATCAAAATTTCATGTTGCAGAATTTGATGAGTACTCTAGGATAGTCTCTATCTTTCAGGGCCTGAAAGTTTTTGACTGATAATGTTTCATAGATACATTTGCATAGGCAAAATTTCAAAAGCATTTCCATTTGCAACAAGAACATTTGTGTTTTCATATAAGTGACTCAAACTTACAGGAATAATTTGGCCACATACACCAATCGGCTCATGTCTTGTAAATGTAAAAAAGTTTCCATCTAGGGGAAGAAGAAATAAATTAGACATTCAGACAAAGAATTTGTGAGAAACAGTTAAATCAGAAAGAAGATAAAGTTGGATAGCAAACTTATCTGGATATAATTTTACTCACAAACTATATTTTCAAAACTTAACTATGCAAAAAACCAACAGTAAAATACATCTGGATTCAATATCTACCTTCTTCATAGCTCCAAGGTTTGATTCTTCTAGTTTGACTTTTTGCAGTGATAATCCTGCTTTTCAATATGGTATGCACAGCACACCAATGAGCATTCCCAATTTCTTTTTTCTTTTATCACCTCTTTTTGGAAAGTGCTCTTTTAAAATCTACTAGTGATCCTAGGTACATATCAGACATTTTTTTATATTAGATCTTAGCTTAAATCAAATCCATTAAGTATAAAATTCTCTTTGAATCAGATAAATGTGTATCCCATTAAGCCTACCATGGAGATCTACGTGATGCCAAAAAGTTGGAAGTATTTATCACTCTAGTTTTCCTTAATTCCTTCTTTATTACTATTCTTTTCTTTGTCCTTCTGAGACAAGCCAGCTAGAAACAGTATTTTCATAGAGCTGCTTAATGGGAGAGGAATGGAATGAAATTTCAGCAAAACTTTCCTCATTCTTAGTATTTTTCCTAATACATTATTCTATAACTGAAACACATATTATAGTTTGTCCTAATCTTAGCTTTAATAAGCAAATACCTGGTTTTCATTACTGTACCATTGCATAAACTATACATCACTATGTAAAAGTAACCTACCAGACTTAGATGTACATATAGGCTAAAATATTTGGGTCAATAAAGAGTACTTTTTAGTGGTGTATAGAACAAGAAATAAATGTGAATAACTGAACTAAATATTTAAAACATGCACTATGATAAATCTTAAACAACATATATTAAGAACTGTCTAAAATATTTTCCATTTGAGATATTTTTTGCATGGCACAACTTTTAGGAAAAAGGCAATTTTTTACAGATTGCATTGACTTCAGTTCTGTACTTTTGTAATCTCAAAAATACTCACCCATTGGAACAGTACGCCCATGGATTTTATCAGCCCAACCTGCACAGTAGTGTAATGTTTTGATACAGGCACCTAAATCCATTAGGTAGGCAGTGGAAAAGAGTTTCCCACCATCAATGGCTTCCATTGTCTGCAGACAACAGCAATTACAAAGTTAATATAAAATATTGATAATGGTTGTGATGTATGTACTTTGTCATTTAGCTTTTGATTGTTAGTTCAGTTTTTCATCTTAAGTACAAACATTTAGATTAATTCCCCTCTGAAAGATACTTAGCATTTGAAAAACCTAAGGTAGCAATTTACAAATGAGAAATTTTCATGATGGTTTATTCACAGTGAGCTATGCAGATGACATGATGATGGCACATTTGTAATGGTGAGATGTTCTGGAAAAACAGTAACATTTACCCTTTCTGAATAATTTTCAGTGTTCTAGTTTACATTAATTATTCTAACTATAATTCTAAATAATCTACACTGAAGTGTAGATGAAAAGATCAGCTAGGAATCTGTGCAAATAATTGAGGCAAATAAAATGAGTGGCCCCCCCTCAGCCTATCCACACTGACAACCAAGGTAGGCAGTAGTTTCCTGGAAATAACTGTCACATTAACTGTACTGTTTAATCGTTAAGGAACGACTTTCTAGGTGCCTAATAAATTTGTGGTTAACAACTTAGGTGTACAAGAAGACTCAAAGCATGGAATAAAATACCCCAAATATACCTTCAGTGTTTGATGTGCAAAAGAAAGATCTGAGCCATCAAGAACTCTTAAATGAGAAAAATTCACTGTGAAAAATATTTATACAGAAGAGGGGCTCTCTTTTATTGGGTGGAACAACTTATCTTATTTGAAGCCAGACCTGATTCTTCATACCATGGATCTCTATGCTAAACAGGTATAAACCTTTAGATAATAATAGGAAATATTAATTCAACATCTATAACTTTCATCTGACCAATTCTGTTCCACCCACAGTGCTTTAATGATCCCACAGAAACACCATCACTAAATATATTGGGTTGATTTCCAGCCAAATCTAGGGAGTGTGATTTTTATTAATGCTATTTCAATACCCTTAATTGCTGAGACATCGAGTTAAAGGCCATATGCATCTCTTAAGCAGTGGCAACACCTTCTTGACAATGCTAGATTTTATTATTTTTTTTTTCTCAAGTTTTCCAGCACAGTGACACTGGGGACCTTCAGCTTTGTGAACAATACTGTTAGGATACTTAGTAAGAAACAGCCAAACTATTTCAAGATGTAATCAGATCTTAGAAAAACTATTTGCTTTTTTAAATTTGTTATTTTGTATGTCCAAGGTTCTTTAGTATTTCAGACTGAGTCTACAGACTGATCCTTCAAATACAATGTTTCACCAACATCTCTGTAAAGTCTGCAGTTTTAGTTAACTGGACACATTACAGATATCACAATTGGGAAGAGAACAGAACAAATGAAGAAGCCAGAAATGGCTGATGGCTTTCAGCAACACGGAACTGATTAAATCAGATATGCCCCTGCCATTCCAGGCAATATATCCAGCATTGTGTTGTTCTGTTTGGACATGGCAGAAAATTCTTCTCTGGCTTCAAAGTTAGGAACTCTGAACACCACAACAGACTGACACTTAAGAAGCAAAATTCTCAGTGACTCTTTCAGTACCCTGCTTTGACTTATTCTTCCAGTAGCTTACCTATAGGGCTGTTGAGCTTCTGGAGCTTCAGGAGAGGCATCTTATCATTATATGAAACACTGAAATGGAATAATTTTGATCCTGGGCAGATGTACAAACACAGGAAAATGCCTTTGCAATCATCTATGGGGATCAATTTTGACCTCTAGTGTTTACAAGGCTATTTGTTATTCTACAGTACTAGTTCTGCAGTTAGGATAAGCTGTGAGTGGATCAAATCTCTCTTCATTTTGCAGTCTGAAAAGTACTTCATTAAAACATACCTTATCTAAAAGGGAAAAGTAGTCAATGGTATGAGCAAGGTGTAGGAAATAAAAACAAAGTCAGTAAAATAAAAACTTGGGAGGGGCCCCAGAGAAAACATTACTTTCATATTATGAAAATGGCAAGTGGGAACAAAAGTTAATTTAAAGTTTCAGATTTCCTATGGAGAAAAGATAATTTATCCATTGTCTTTTCATGTGCAGTGTCTTAGGCTGTACAATAAAGAAGCAAGTGCCAAATTATCTGGTATTTAACTGACAAGAAGACATACTTTTCCTATTAAAAATTTAACTCTCAAAATTTTGTCTCTCTCACTTCCAGTAAATCTAACATTATTAAGGACATAATTTCTAGCCACCCAAGTTTTCTCCTGAGAAACTAGGTGATTATCAGTCCCTATCCAGGTGACAAGATGCATTTAGAGAAATAACTTGGTTGAAGAAAAGTGTAAATTTGACATTTGCAGACTGTGGAGTTCAAGGAAATAACTTCAGTTCCTTTGAATTTTAATTTTTCTTCTAAAAACCTGTTTGGGACACATGCAAGTGTCTTCCTATACTATGGTCATGAGGACAATAGAATGGGCAATAGATTCTTTGCAGGTTTTACATATTTTTGAGGTTTAAATTTTTATGAGTTTATAAATGGTGTGGTTTCTAGCTGATGACTAAATACTTCAAATTATGACTACATCAGTCTGAATGATGATCCTGAATGTTGGATATTACTCCTCCTCTCTTAAATTTTTTGACACTTTCTCTCTCTTCAGGAGAGTGGAAAAAAATATCCTGCATAAATGTTAATTCCAAACGGTGCTTGAAATAGCAAAGAAATCATCTTAATGGTAGCATCATATGTGGGGTTTTAAATAAGAAAGGTACTGTACTTTACCAAATTGGTGATGCATTTCTATTTTAAATGTTCTTTCCTTCCTTAGAGAACAATCGTTAGGTGTTGGTACTACAACTTATGTGCCTGTTGTTAAGAGTGGTAAAATGGCCAATACACAGTAGTTGATAAAAGACACCATTCCCCACCCTCTCATGTTCTTCCTACTAATAAGTAATTATTTGCTGCCTTTGTTTCTGATTAAGGTTTTTCACTCATTGCCAGTTGCAAGCTGGAGTTCTTGAAGGACCAGTGCTAGCAAATATATAGCCATGAAATTCAAAATTTCTCCCAGTTCTGACTTGTATCATCTGTAAGCACTGAGCCAGGCTTTGAATTTAGGCCTTGATTCAGGCTTTGGTTTAGACAGGTGTGAAGTGTGTGGTCTATGTTAGTGTTCTTAAGAATCAACAATTGAAATTACATTGATTGTAGGTGGCTTAAGTATAATCTTAGAACTAATCAAATACTCAAGTACTCTGTGAATGTGGAGTGTTAATAGACCAGAGTGCAAGCCAGTTTAATGAGGTCCATTTGCAATGCAGATGAAAAACAAGTATCGAGACAGCCTGACTTTCCAAGGATTTAGCATGTTACACATATCTTTCTTCAAAAATTAGGATATAGGCTTTTTTTCCCAGTCTTTTTATTCATGTATCATACTCACAGCTAAAATCAGCCGATCTCTTTCAACTAAGTCAGCTAATTTATTCAAGAGCCTTCCTCGCTCTGAAGCATCCATTGTACGCCAGGGTGACCCAAGTTCAAAAGCTCTTCTAGCAGCTTTAACAGCTTTGTCTACATCTGCCTGTGGGGAAAACAGACAAAATTTTATAATCAATAATTGATTCTGTCATCAATCTTGCTGTTTGTTAAACATGCAAAGTGTTTTGCAAGATAAATAAGAAACACCAACCCCAATCTAAGCAGAATTAGTACATTAATTCTAAATGCATAGGTTATCTGCTATCATTTCAGCAATGTGAAATTTTGTGAGAAACAGGCAGATTCTTGAAGCTTCTAAAATAAAAAACATATTAAGGAACTATATTTTTAAAATTTAGATTGATAACCCTCTGCCTTCTAGTGCCTATAATTGGGGATATATCCACCGATTACACTGCTGATGCCCAAATCTGTAAATTAAATATTTAAGTAATCAACTTCATCTAAAATTATCTGGTGGTGTGATGAAGAACAGGTTAGAAAATTCTGTTCCTTAGAATGTTTCATAAAATGAACATGAATTTATTATTGAGGAAGACAAATCAATATGTTTTTAAAAGTTTTAAGGAACACTCCTGTTTAAAATAATTTTAACAATTGACTGACTGACAAGGTTTAAAATGCTAAGCCTAAATATTCTGAAATCAAAGCATTGTCTTTGCATTAAGCAATCTAATTTGTCAGTCCATTAATGGTTTTTATAGTGTAATTTATTATTTATCATTTGGGTTTTGCTATAGCACAAAAAATCTACAATAGATTATAGGAAATTATTTTCTGTGCAAGGGTGTTCCAGTATCTAAAATATCCCACTAAAAATCTCTTGAGAAAAGGCTTCTAGTACTTGGAATTCTTCTATATTCCACAATTCTTGTAAAAGTTTTCCCAGAAAAACAATACCACAGAAAGGAAGTTTATCCCAGTTTTTTATTAGAAATTAAAAACAAATTTCAAGAAAAAAGGGAAGAATCTATACATGGCACATTTGTCTGAGTGATTTACATACATTGTTTAAAGGAGTTCTTTCGAACTGTTTTTTGTACTTCTGTTTGCTAGAGTCTCCTCCAGGGAAATCACTATCAAGGTTGACTCAGTCAGCGAAGCTGATTAAGTCAACACCAAAGTCAGTTGTTTTAAATGTAAACCAGATCTTGAAACTTTAATTGATGTTGTTAGCCATTTTTAAAAGACGAGAGTGGGGTGGGTAAGTGGTTTGGAAAGGCCAGGCAGGAGTTTCAGAGCTCCCAAAGCCCTTCCAGAAATTTTGGGAAAAGACAGGAAGGATCTCTACAATAGCACAGTCATTACTATAGGGTAATACTGATCTGTCACCTACATCATGTACCTAATATCCACCACATTAAAAATAATTGGTTTTCTTCAGAATCTCTCAGAATGTCATCAAATACATCATCACTTACCTGTGACCAAGAAAACTGAATTCAATGAAAATTTAATTAATTCTTTTTTTTTTTTTTTTCTCACTCTATCATAAATATCCTACAGTTTCGCAATATGACCTGGGGGTATGTCTTGGCCTTTACTGGAAAAGAGTAAAGGGAAACCATAAACTGTACTTGTGTGAATGATATAAATTAAAACTATATACAGCACTATGTGTTCTTTCTACTACAAGTACAAAAATAATTAAAACCAAGAAAAATTATATAAAGATAAGATAAGGCTGTGAATGAAAAGTAAGAAAAAATACATTATTCAACTGTATGAAATTTAATTTGGGTGCATAAATCTATGTCATGAGTATATAGACTGATAGCTCCTTTCAGAGCTTGTTAGACTTTTTACAGAAGTACACTTACTTTGCATCCCCCTGATCATTTGTTGAGCTGCTTTATTGTTACTAGGGGTCTTTAGGATTAGTGAATGTAGTTTGAAAGAGCCATCAAACTGAAAGGAAAACAGTTCCCACCCAAATATGTGACTGTGCTTTGTAATCTCCTCTTGGTTTGGTTAATACCAAAATTTGGTTAATTTGGTTAAATACCACTGCAAGGCAGTGTACAGCCCTTTGTCAACCCTATTGTGCACACAAATTAAATTCCTAAAATCTCTTGGCTCATTATCTAAAGACTAGGCTCTAGAATATTAGGCTCACAATGACTGTGTGATTTACTAGATTTGTACATTTCACTTAGCAATTTAGTTAATAGTGGTTGTCATTACACATTAGTTTGCAAAATTATTGGAGAGAAAGCGAACTTGTGTGTTGAACAGTATTATCTCTTTTTTTAATGAGTTGTTAGATTGCTTGTAAGGAATGAAAGCTACAAAAATTCTGAATGGTAACTGAATAGTTGCAGGGCATGAGTAATTTAATTTGAGGATGATCAAATATCAGACCAACCTGATTTGCCATGTAATTTGGTTTTTAAACACTGAGCAGAGCATTATGGTTCTAGTGGGATATTATCCAGATATTAACAGCGTGCTTCTGAAATTCCTTGGATGAGGACAAAAAGAGCCTGAGATAATCCTAATGACTCAAGCACTATATACAGGTAACTGGGACTAAAGAAAAACAAAATCAAGGCATTTGAAAAGCTCATACTCAGATATATGAAGTTATCAAAAGCCAGATTCATGCAGACCCTACACCACCCCCCACCCCCCTCACCCCCACTTGATAACTTACATTTCAACTATATGATAACACTAGGCAAATCTTCTTCAACATAAAAATAGATCATATAACACCAATAGCTGCTTATCTGAGGGTTTGATTTTCATCATATCTTTGATTACATGGCAACTATCTGTAATTTTCAAATTACAGAAACCTCAAATATAAAAAATTAATGTTTTTTATAGGTGTCAACAATCTTTTAGTAGTCCTCTGCTTAAATTCATCAATTCAACATGCTGTAACAAAAAAAGTTTTGATGGAATTACTATCTGTTTGATAGGCTACCTTCAGCTTCAGAGTCTTTTTTAGGACTATGTTCCAGTGCATTTTCACAAAATCAAATATTTGAAGTGGGCAGTACTGAGAAGACATATTCCTAGGTAGAAATGCTGATGGTAATGATCATCTTCACAGAGTATGTGTGTGAAAATATCAGTATTTGTCCACTTCGTGTTATCTGTATTGAAAAGCCTTGTATAAATGTATAATGAACAGATTACATCCCGATGTAGGGTAGATCCAGGAAAAAAATTTAAAAAACACCCCAATTAAATTATTAAATCTCACTGATTAAAGAGAACAAAAAGAATCAATAATATTAATGAAAAAATAAAAAAAAAATATCTTCAGAACTTTCCTTATATGAGCAAGATCCTGAGAGTAAAACAGTTTTTTAGTGTCTATTTACAAATTTTATTAAGTAAAAAAGCTAGGAATTATATTTGCAGAAGAAGGTATATGGGATGAAGTAGGTACATCTCTGAGGTGGTATTTTATACCAACACAGATAGATGCCTGCCTTCCTACATTTAAGACACAGAATTGAGTTTAAAGCTAGGGTTTAGCGCAATAAAGAAAACCCTACCTTGTCACCTTCTTCAACCTCACAGATTTTCTCTTCATTTGCAGGGTTAAAGACTTCAAATTTTTTACCACTGACTGAATCGTGCCACTCATTGTTTATAAATATCTGTAGAGGAAGAAAGTGCAACAATATTAATAACATATATATATATATATATCTGTTATCTGTACCCGTTTTAAAGAATAAACCTATCTTACATAGCTGAGAGCTGCCTTAATGATAGGTACCTGAAATAAAAATGAAATAGATGTTTTTAAACTGTTCTGCAGAGATGAGTAATCATAGATGTACTTAACCAGGAACAGATTTTTTAAAATTAACTTCCTTAGGAGAGATGAACATTTTCTCTCTACATGATATTTCTATTTTGTTCCATGTAATAGAAAGATGCTGTTAGAAAGGGGTCCTTCCTCTCTCAAACTGAAGTCTGTGATGTGCAAGGTAGGTTCAGCCCTAAATGACCTACCTAAAACTACCTGGGTTTCCTATGTTCACAGGGTTGGTAATGACGAGGGTCTTTCTGTTACGTACATGCCCTGACAAATCCATTCCTTGGGTTTAGTATACAGTACATATAGTATCTTGGAGAACAGTATTTTATTTAGCTTTGATTTGATTTGTTTTGTCTTCATTCTCTCCTGCCAAAAAAGAAAGTCAAAACTAAAATACCAATAGTATGTTTTCCTGAAATTAAAGTCAAGACTAAAAATACCCCACCATAGCCAAGTGAACAAAACAAAGAAAAAACCACTTAAGCAGAGTAAAAATTAGGCAAGCATACTTCTCTGATTTCATTTTACGGGAGTAAAATAATTAGAGATTAGAGAAGGGCTCTCTTATTTTTCACCAAATCCTTTGGCTTTGTGGATTGGTGCTTCATTAAATGTGATCCTAATCAAGATTTAAAATTAGAAACCTAATGCTTTTAATGTTTTACAGAAAAACTAGTCTTTTCTCCAGTATATAAAAATAGGAGTCACAAATCAAGAGGAAATGACTGATGCATCACCAGATGTACACTGTTAATAGCCTTAGAGAAAGCCTAGACTGTCCTTGCTGGTGGTGGATTTCACAGAGACACTCTCAAAAACACACTTAGCATCACATACTGGGAGAAAAACCCTCTCTTGTTTATAGTTGTTGCCTTGATAAAAGGTTTAATTACTTTACCAGTGAAATCACAAACATCTATTTCTTTAATTGCTGTTTTTCTGAACCAGCACATACCAAAATATTTACACTGCCCAAAGTGAAATGTCCAAGAGCTGACAATGACGGGAATTTCAAGGGTGGCTTGTGGGCAGAAGATGTCTGTGGTCCTCGGTTAGGCATATAACCTTATATGACTCAATAGGTCTTAGATGAAAACCCATGGGAAAGAGTGGCATTTTTAATCATAGTTTTCAAAGCTAGTTTCTACTCCTCCTTTGGAAAGACTATTTGCAGGATCTCAATCTGAGCATTTTCATATCACAATGTTGTTATTTTGCAGGAGTTATACTATGGGTGCCTGAAGTGGGGTTGTGCCCTATTGCCATAATCCTGCTCTCAACATATGAATATAGTCATACGAACATATCACAAATGTGGGTGCTGGCAGTGTATTGTTCAGGAGAATTACAACTGATGGTCATGTATATGGGGGATTCTTTTCTCTCCACTCCCTACCTGAAAGTTTCTATGCAAAACACCTCCGTGGTTCTGATCTTTAGCTTATGCTACAGTTCCTGCTTTTGAATGGGGAAGGTACTTGCCTTGTATGACTTCATGTTTTGATGAGATGATCGTTGAGTAACTATTTTAGCCATCATATCGCTTTATAATCAATATATTGTCTATTTAAGGTGATCCTAACCATTATTCATTATTTAGTCAGTAATTTCTATCAGTACACTGTTCACCTCCAATTTAATGGTCACATGTACCAAATCTTTTGTCACCCTGACATTGATCACACTTCCCTGCCTCCCATTCAGACTTTAGGCATAAAATGCAAACATACTTCTCTTATTCTGACTACTACTGCCAATATTGTTTGAACTGCAAGGAGTATTACAGCAAATTAGTATTACTTGTGTCCATTTTGATAGTTTTTCATACTTCTTTCCAACTCTGAGAATCTCTGTTATATTTCTACACTGATTTCCCTCAGCAGAAACCACCACTCTTGATTTTCCATCCTTCCAAACATTATCTAACCTCTTTTACTAATCTGTTGCCTTCATGTGGAACATCCAGACACCAGGAAAACCAAGTCAGCATGCGCTGCTCATTTACCTGTTTTATCCTGACTATTGCCTGACAGGGACTGGAAAAAGTCTAATACTGAAACCAAGAAAATAAGCCAAAAAATTGCTTTTCTCAATCTTGCTAGAATATCCTGTCTTTTTATTTAATATCTTTCAAGATTTGCATAGATTGACGAAGTATATCTAGCAATTAAGAAGAACAAAAGAAAAACAATTGCACAGCAGCTGGCCTACACCAAAGCTAATCATAACAGCTTACCCAGCAGCAATGAAATTGATACCCAAAGTTCATTTAATAAATGTTAGGAACTATGTCCTTACTCAAAGATCAAACTTTTGTACTGTCTGAAAGCCCATTGTGTACTGAATTTCCTTTGCATGGCTGGAACAAATACCATTAACTCTTGATTGCGACATTGCTGGTGCACTTAGAACACAACCTTAACAAACAATGTGGGCATTGTTATTTCCCATATTGAACTTTTATGATCCATAACCTTTTGTGGTATAATAACCCCAGATAGTCAAACCTAGGCCCTTTTGTATGGGAATAAGTAATTGGCAAAGGTACTGTTACAGCTGAATGAATAATTAAGTGTTTGAAATCCTTATAAATTCTAAATTATGTCAGTGTCATACAAGAACATTTTCTCCAAAGACATCACAAAATTCCAGCCATGTCTGCTATATTTTTGCTATTAATTTTGTTGTCTGTTTGGTATAGCACTTTCTTTTTCAAAGTCTCATGTCCTAATTTCAGTTGTGCTATACATCCCGTAAAACTATGTCCAAAGAAGGTTTCAGGAGTGATCAGTTCTGTGTCTCTCTAGGTTTTTTGGTTACTGAATACTAATAAGACCATTGATGAAATCTGTATAAATTATTCTGCTTTTCTATTCAAACAAACAAACAAGGAAACCAATGTAATTGTTCCTGAAAAATCAATATTTTTAAACAGTGTAGGGAAACTATGGCACCATACACATTATTCTTAAAAAACAAATTGTTGTCTTTTAAAAGATGTACTTTATACTGTTACTAAAATAACTGTAATATTTCTGAATTTTCTATTCTGTTACATTAAAGATGATACAAAATCAATTGATTCAGCAATTCCTAACTGACAGAATAAAACAATCTACTAAAAATACTCTTTAGTTGTAATTATTGAAATGTTACATGGTATTTTACAGCTGTGAAAATTTAGAGGACAACCGGAGTGAAGACTTAGGACCTTTGTGTAAAATTTGAGGTACTCTGTTACCCATAGGTGCACAAGATCTACCGTACTCTAGTGCCTGCCATCTCTGATCCAATGCTGGCAAAGTTGTTGTGGTGGGTTTTTATTTCTGACTCTGTACCTTTGTCTTGAAACAGAAAGGAAAACCTCACTGGAAAGATCTGATACAGGGCACAGATGTTCAAAAAAGTAGGCTAAGTTGCTACCAAGTGTTGCATAGGTTGTTCTTTAAAGTGACCACGACAATGTATACAGTCCAATATTAACAAGTATCTTTCATCCTCTGTCTAAATGTCTCTGTGATCTCTGGGTCTGGATCAGTGCTGAAATGGGCTTGCCACCCTAAGCCACCCATCCAGTGCCTGAACCCACCTTCCTGCTGCTGATAGGCTGGTGCCATCCTTTCTTGCTCTGTCCCAGTGCCACTACCTTGCTGGCATGCATGTGAGATCTTGATCATGCTCACCATTGAGACCATGGCAGGCTTTGACTGATTGTACCCAGTATTGTGTTCTCAAACTGTGCCTATCTTTAGGGTCATGGCATATTGCCCCACTTTTAGTCATTGGAGCTGAGCTGTGAGATCAACTAGCAGAAAAGATGTAATTTCTGTTTCCTCTCCATTAGGATAAACTACCCACTGTTGCTGTTCAGAGTGACATCAACATTTAAATAGAAAACCAGAAAATACATTGGGGCAGTGAAATCAAATCAAATGATGGATGAGACAGGGCAGGACAAAGTTAAGACACCAAAACTTTAGGATAAAAGTTGTTTGTCACACAAATTTTAACCCTACCACCACAACCACATATGTTATAAAAATGTGACAGTTCTCAGGGAAAAGTTTTTTTGCATAGTATTGAAATTACTTATGTTGACTGTCTGAGTGATTGTTAATAATTGGTCAATAATTGCATAATAACTATCAAGAACAGTAAAACTATTATCTCTAAATGGATATCGTAGCAATATTTTATTAATATATTCCTCCATGTTTGAGCTTGTTTCTATGTGGCCACCATAAATAGAATGTAATTTCTTCCTCTGATCATCAAGACTGACCAGCAAACTCCTGATTTAACAAAATCTGTCAGAGAAATAAATAATGTAGGTCCCTGGAAATTTCAGATATGTCATGAAATTGATTATAGGAATAGCCACAAAAAATTCTGACTGTTGTGAAAGAGCAAAGACAGCAGTTACAGGGTTAATATATATATATATATATATAAAGCCATCTTTAGTAACCAGCTACATTGCCAAGAAAAGAGACAAAGTAAAAGGTAAATATTAACATAACACTGCTATGATGTTACAGTATGCCAAATTCACATCTGTCTGTGAAAGGAATAATAGCAAAACATACCATTTTTGGAAGTTTTTGAAGTATTTGTTTTAAATACTACATTTATTGCACCAACCAATATCACCCATAATATTAGCTTAGAATATCTTTCTTATTAATGTTTCTAATATCATTCCCATTTAAAACATAACTTCACTACATTCAATATGTACACAGCATTGTATCAGGGCTGTATAAATCAAACTATCCAGATGTCTTTCATAAGCTAGACAGCAGTCTTGCATACGTACGTATGAAAGACAGGAAAGAGAGGGAAAAAGTCAAAACTCTCCATCTAGGTCACGTTACACACATTTCAGGCAGCTGCACTCATAAATGTGCATGCCGCCATGTTCATTTAATGCTGTGGAGTATATGCTACAAACTAACAGGACATGGATCTCTAAATCCAGGCAGCATCGAAGAACCAGCCAACAGCAACCTCTGGAAACTCCCTTGCCCTGCTGAAGAAAAAACATTTGGGATCATCTTGCAGTAGGGTTACAGTGTCTTGCCCTTCAGTCAGAATTACACTGACAGTTTAGATCTTTTTGTTTTGGTTTGTCAGAAATAAATGCAAAAGACCTATCCTTCTGTGGCATGTGCTGTGCAGTGTGTTGATTGTGATGACTGACTATGGTACATGAGGTTTAGAGATGAAAATTTATTTTGCAAGGATTTAGAAATGTTGTTGCAGGTATTTTGTAACTGTTATTTCACGGGTACTTTTAGGAAAGAAGATGGTTTTTATATAAACAACCCAAAGAATTAATGACTTTCAGACTTCTCTGTACTAGACCTGGAAATACACATTTCTTGTAGATGCAACTGTACACTACCTAAGTTTAGTATGTAAAATAGAGCCTAACAGGCTACTGCAGTCAAAAATCCTCTGACTGGTTTTATTTCCCAGTACAGTAAAATCTTGATTCTCTGAAATGATTGATTTCAGTTCAGATAATTTAATACCATTCACCTTTTGGAGTTGAAGTTACCTGCAAGACTACAGTATTTCTGTCATTGTTTAAATAGTTGATTAGGTCACTTAAATGACCTAACAGAAAATGGGGAGCCAAGACTTCCTCTTTTTTTTTTTTTTTTTTTTTTCCTTTCAGTCCTTCAGTATTTTGAAAGGACCATGAGTTCATTTTATCAAGTATCTGCTAGATGGGGAGTGCCATATTTGTGTCTGTACTGCGTGAGGAAAGAAAGTATTTGACTCTGGACAGGTTTGTCTCAGATAGACCACACCATAGCTCTGCTGAAATAGATTTTAGGGCCTCTACATTAGGTGTCATTACCTTATGAAACATAACATCTTGCTGCATCTTTCTTAGAATAAGGATATCCTTTTTGTGGGTTCAATTTTGTGCAAAGTCTGTACAGAATTTCAGGCCTCAGTGTTTCTGTAGAAGTGACTTAAAAGTGTGGTTTAGAGAAGAAAACACTTCATTTCTGATGTTGTAGAGATCCTTTACACAATCCCATATTTAACATCTGTCTATAAACTTATTTAGGGAAGAATTTTTATGTAATTCATTCTTATTGTTATAAACTATAATCCATAGTACAGAGATGTAGTCAAGAAAAGTAATAGAACTATCTGAAATGTGGACTATCTCAAATTTAGCTATTATAAGTAGCTTAATAAATAGGAAATGAAATGTCTAAGCTATGTTCTCTTTAGGTATCAGAAACTCTGCCAAACTTATGGTACAAGAAAAAGGATAACCTCTTTCCACCATAAATCTGCCCCCAGATAGCCTACAGGTCTTGATATGATAAAGTTTTTTTGACAATGCTCTTCAAATGATCCCATCTGGGTTTTTTGCAGAGCTAAAAGTACCAAATTTCAACAGTTGTTCAGCTGACTGCTCAAGATTTCTAGTGCAGACAGTAAACCAGGGAATGACACCACCAGTGTTTTTTTAGAGGTCAAGAACTGTGAAGAGGCACCAGGGCTGTCTCTGGGCTCCTGCATGCTGGAGACAATTCAGCATCACTTAGGTGAGGAGATGCACAGTGCTGAAAAATTGTTAACCCCTATTCATACCTACTCTTATATAAATTATGAGACTTATTCAGATATTCTAGAGTTTGATATGGCAGCGTATCTTACAGTTACATCTAAACCTGAAACAGATTTGTGGCCCAAGAGGAGGTTCATTTCATGTGCTATAAATTCTGATTTGCCAGTCCCAAAATATGTCATGGAGTCTCACTCTACTCTTTAAGCAATACAGTTAAAATACATGAAATTATTTAAGGAAATACTGAAGACTGAAACTGTAAGCTTTAAACAAATATTTCAATAACGAATACCTGCTGTGGAATCTCTCTTTCCCCTGGGTTTTTCCTTACAAGGAGTTCATATTTGGCTAATATTTCATGAATTATTTTTTTTTTCTCCTTGAAATTGTATGTTATTATTGATGCTGGAACTGCATTTTACTGCTGCAATCAGAGAACATAATATTTCTATTCATTATTTATTTAAACTTTTTTTCATTTAGTGGCTTTGTATCTACAAGTCAGCTGATCTTAAAAAGAGTATGTTTCTATAGTACCTTTATAACTAATTACCTTTCCCCAGATATTCTAATACATTTTTTGTTGGTTTATCCCTTACCTTTTTTTTTGTGAAGCTAGTGATCACAACCCATGTGATACTTAGCTGGATACTCAGAATGGCTTACCCTACTACACTTTCTGATATTCCACATACAGTTTAGTAAGAGAATGTGCATCTGTTTTCCGCCCATCATGTAATTTGACAACCTAATAATTAACTAGTCTGAGGTTTTCCAACTAAAGAAACACCACAGGACTTAGTGTTTGTGAAAGTATTATAACAGAAATAATTTGTCAACAATAGTTGTCTTATTCCTCAGTGTTGACTAAGTAAAATATTTACTAGTATATTTTTAGCCAGCTACCAACACTCATTCAGCTCATTGGAATATCTTTAAAGGTGATTCAGATATGAAACAAATTCAACATCAGTCTGTGGTTCAACATCCAAGCCAATTTAACTGCTTAAAATTAATTCAATTTAATTCTTGAAATTCAAATTCCCTGAAGACAGATTAGTTTTATACTGTATGTGAAAGGCATTGTCTGAAATGTAGCTATACCAATCTATAGGAAATATTTAATTATGTGATCTCTGTAAAAGGCCCCGAATTATCCCTCTCATAGAAAATAAAATAGTGTTAATTAAAGAGAAAAGTCCTTCGAAAACTTCCTGCAGATCTTCAGATCCTTGTGTGATGGTTATTGATATTATGCCATGATAGAAAAAGAGAAAATTGAGTTTCCAGAGCTGAGGGATCTGCTGATGTCCAAGATGCTTCAGACAGAAAGGTTTAATACATCAGCAGTAATTAATGCTTCCTCATCTTGATCCCTCCAACATAACTAGTCAAAACAATCCCATATCCCACATTCTAACCTGTATGGGACAGGAGAGGAACATGATGGATAAGAACACAAGAATGGAAAGGCTTTATTAAATTGCAGGATGACTGCTGGGTGTCAATGACATTTCTATTATATTATCTCCCTGTCACTCAGTACATTCTTCTGGCTTTCAGACAACCCTGTGTGATGTTTGAAGAGAGGAGGAAAATGTTGCAAAAATCAACCCTCTTCAAGGGAGTGTTGCATTTGATCCCTTATAGGTAAACACTTTTGCAAACAAGTACATTGTTACACAGTTACATATTACAGGCAGTTTTTAAGGAAATGGTATCCACTGTCAAAGCAAAAGAAACCATGCATTTGCTATGTGACACTCTCCTTAATTGCACACGATAGACATTTCAGACATGCTGGCTGCCTTGGGGTTGCTTTTTGTATTAATGGAATAGTTTTTTTGCTAACTAAATATTTTAGAAGGAAAACAATGTTTACAGAAGTTTATATCTTGCATATTCAGTTACATTAGGTTTCTGAGCTAGCATTTTGCTCATATTAGTTGATTTCTTTTAGAAAAAAAACCAACCCAAAACTGTAGTTTCTAGAACATCACTGTGACCTAGGTACTAAAGTATCTTCTCTGAATTAAACTTTTTTTTTTTTTTTTTTTTTTTTTTTTTTTTTTTTTAGCTTTCATAGCCTGTTAAATATTTACAAAGTAAGGTCCTGCGTGATTTATTCAAGAAAGGCATGCATTGAAATCTGCTTAGTTTTTTTCCATGAAACAATAGGATAGAAGAGAACTCAAAAGGACTAATCTAGATAATCACTGAACACCTTCCTTTGGGAAAATAAAATAAGTATTGGTTCTAGAAAATAAAATTTATTTCCATTTGTATGGTAATGATAAAAGGAATTAACAGCAATCAAGCAGTCTCCAAAGGGAATAGGTCCTTTCTGATCAATTGTTCTACCTGAATGTTTCAGAGGGCAGAGTTTCAATATTTTCTGCCAACAGTTTGTTCAAAGTTCTTGCAGATATCTGCGTACTATGATATAAAACAGGCAAAGGATCTTTCCTAGCTGGGAACGCAAGTCTGGATTCAGAACTTCTTTATCTGTGTATTTCTAACTTCATATAAAAAGAATTTGTTATTTCAAAGATTTCATGGTAATAGTGAGTAATGATGGTAGACTTTATCTGTTTTATTGATAGTTACTTGTTTAAGCTGAAAAACAGATTTATTATCTCCAAGAAAAATATGTGAGTGGAATGAATTTAATTTTAGTTTCTTTTTCACAGATCCCTTTCCACATAAACTTATTTGACTTATTGAAATCTGATTGTAATATGGTGCAGTACGCGAACATTTTCATGTGTTCTCACTGTTCTGAAAAATATGATAAAAGAAACCTTTCCTTCTTCGCTCCATTTATACTTTTTGAGAACCTTATCACTGCAGAAAGCTTGCTTCATTAGAAAACCAGCATCCACCCCAAATGAAATATTAAATGATTCTATCACACTTGCACACTTCCTTAAATACTTAGATTAAAAGAAGCACTAAACATTAATTGTTAATTTGTATAATATCAGAAAGAAACAGGTCAGAATAAACATTTTAAGCACTGATTTACAGTTGCTTCCATGGTTCATGTAATGTTAAAATGAGCACATCCTACTGTCTGAGCTGAAAGAATGAGAAAAAATAAGAAAAACAGATGCTACTAACCTTGGTGTACTTAATTTTCAGATCTTTGAGTGGTTCTGGCAGCGCTGGCAAAATTGGAGCAGACTTGCTGTCTGAACCTTGCTTCTTCATATTTTCAGTTGAGGAGTTTGAGGACGTTCCTGAAACACAGGTGAAATGGGGTATAAGGGAAGCACAGTGATTTTTGTCCTGACTGAGCTCTTAGCTTTATTTGTGCTTTTTATCTGTACCAGCTATGGTATATTTGCATACAGGAATATGATTGGATGAAAGAATTCATTGCAAAGAGAAAATGACACTACTTAAGACCAAAAGCAACTGCCTTTTCACCGAGCTGAGACATCGATGTAACAAATGCTGCCGAAGGAATCTGCTTAGCCAGACACTATGAATTTCTTGCTGGGAAACACAGTTTAAGGCCTCCTCATCTTACCTGTAAAATTGCTTTCCCTCAGCAGAGAGGTTCCCAGATTTTAAGTGAAGTTCTTCACCTGCTTGAAGGCAGCTCTGAAGGTAAAGACAGAATTGTTAGCTCTGGAAACAAACTAAGCCCTTCTCACTGGAGAGTTGGTGAGAATAATTTCCAGAGTTGGAAAGCATTCACTAAAAAACAAGTCACCTGAGGTTACGCTTTAATATGTTCAGAGTACATTATAATTCCTGTAATTAATACCTGCTCTGTAGATCACAGAGATAAGGGATGACTATGGTGATACAAAATCCTTCACATATTTTTCAAGAAATATGAAGGTAGGACAAAACTGATTGATCTGGAAAAAATACTCTGTGGATAGAACCAAGCAAAAGCTTGTTGTTTTTTGGGGTTTTTTTGGTTTTTTTTTGAGATAGCACCACAGTTTTAAAGACTAAATTTTACCACAGCAGTGTCCTTTGGAAAATTTGTGTTTGTGACTTTCAAAACAAATAATTTAGTAGACAGGACTTTTCTATCCAGGGTGGGAGCTGCTAGTGCATATATGCACGTATGTTCTGATTACTCAATGTGAAACATATTTCTGGTACTGGCAAATAGTTTTATAAGACTCAAGAAACTCCTCTCTTCATTAAGTCTTACCTTTTCTTATGAATGGTACCACAGGACAAACTGGGACTGAATTAACACTTGTTTTTATATGCAAATCTTCTGATATATGTACAATGGATCTGTACCATAGAAATAAAGAGAAATCATCTTATTGCTTTCATTGAGACTACACAGAGGTTTGAAAAACACACTGAGCTCAGCTAATTCATGTATCAGTAATCATCTAAACCATCTGGCAATGGAGGTTTTGTTGCTTTTAATTGATGGATGATATAGGACATATTATGAAATGAATCTTACAACACATTAGTTATACATAAGATACTTTATGAATTAAAGAGCATGCTATAATTATCACTGATGATTTTTGTGTTTGGATATATGGTTGAAACAAGACTTTCACATGTTCAGACAAGTCCAATTAATTTCTGGATAAAAGAGGTTTATTCTCACAATAGTCATGTCTTAGTGAGATGCAAAAAGCTGTGTGGACTTGAACAAGTTTCAGCCATTCACTCTGCCGTATGAATGAAGGGCACCCATTCCAATTGCTCTAACACCATGATATCTAAGGTTATTATCTCAGTTACTTCCTTTTGAATGCATCATTCAGCTCTCCTGCTTCAAGACAGCCCAACATAGAATGGTATATTTGAAAGTTCTGTGAACACCACATTCTAACCTCAACATTCGGGTTTACAAAGTTTGCCTGCCTTAGAGAATGTCTTTAACTCTCATAAAAAAAAAAAGAAAAAGAAAATATTTAAATAGGGTTTGTTCACTTTGATGTGGAATATACCTTTTCAGTGTTATCTTCACATAGCAAATTTTTGTGCGCTTTTTTTTTTTTTTTTTTTTTTTTTCCACGTTAATTTTCTGGTTTGGACCCTAAAGTCTACTCTAGTAAGCTTCATTTCTCCATTAACTCACAAAGAATTTGTCTCTAGTTATTTCACCTGTTAAGTTATCAGATTTGCCTAATTTAAACAGATTTGAAATGGAGCTCTGCAGTTGTCTGGCTTCTAGCAAAGCAAAAAATCTTTCTCCCAAGTGGGACTGCTCTAAGTACATTCTCATATTTAAGTACTGTTGCATTAGTGATTTTTTTTTTTTTTTAATGAATAAACTAGAAATAAGTTGTAATAACTTCCTTGTAAAATTACAGTATTTATCCTCTTCTCACATCAGGACAGCCTGGAATCTGCTTAGTCAGGCTGTAGAGATACTACCTTCAGTGAAAATTTTCAACTTTTTCAAACATGCTAGTAATAATTGGTTTATTTTCCACACCATTCATTCACTTAACACATACTTTACCCTCTTTTTTTTTTTTTTCCCTTTCTGTTTCCCTCTTTCACTCTTGGATTACATGATTCACCTTCACTACCATGCTTCCTCTGAGTACTTATTTTTCTCTCTAAATCTTGTGTATTGTTAAAAAGGTCTCATTTCTTAAAAGATTATTTGTTATCTTGATCAATTTACTTGTTCTATCCTCAGGCCTTATCTGCTGTGACTTGCTCCAAGCATTGCAATTAATGTCAATAATTCCTTTAACTTCTTTGTGTTTTCATATCTATGAATGCCTGACTTCCCTCCCTTTTTCTAGGAAATTCTAACCATTCCTTAGACTAGCTGCTCATGACCATCCCAATTACTCCCTATACAGTAACTTTCTTATTCACTTTCAGCCTAGGATTCATTTTAGCCTAACTCAGAAATTATTTCCTTTTCCTCAGTTCTCATGTTCCTGTTTATTACAGCTGCCTCCTGCTTTCATTCTGTGACTTTTTATCCCCATCCTGCAACACTACTATTATACATTTCATCTAAAGATGTGCATTTTAAGAAATGCAACTTTAGTGGACTATAACATTCTTTCAAATAGTGGATTGTACAATACTAAGATATTACAGATATTGTACGTGGAAGTTTGCATAGCTTTGCTGTTAATATTTTCTTGGAAAATATTAGACTCTATTTTTTCCTTTCTTTTGGTCAGTGATTTGATTATTTCTTTTTAACTTTTCACTGAAAAGGAATGAATCTTAGCTACTCCACACCTTGGAGAACTACATGATATATAATGTGACTGCAATAGTGCTTTCTTCAATATAATGCATAATATTTCTCCTAGTTTAAACCTACTGAGTTCCTCTACTCAATACAAGATCAAGAGGAACAAATAAAAAGTAATGGTTCATGCTGCAAGTCATAAATAAGCTATGAGATGCCTTGCTGTATGACATTGGTGGTGCTAAAACACAAGTTTGAGGGCTGCATAAACTTTAGGTCTGATGTGTTAGTCTATGCCAGTAAGTTAAATGAAAGTTTTATGCTGGAAGATGCTGTAAATCATTTGTCCATGTGTTTCTTCACAAAGATTAAAAAAGGAAATTAATAACTAACTAAAGACAGCATTCCAGAGTAGAATTAACCTTTCTCTTTAGATTTGATCATACAGTGGGATATTGCCAGTGTTGTTAGCACGTTTTGATTGAGTTCATTGTGGTCTAGGTGGGCAAAGTATTTGGCCTGTATTCCTGAGATTTGTTTCAGGCCCATATTCATTACATGAGATACAATTTAATAGCCAGCAGCACACAGATGAAAGTAAAGCTTTTAGTTGGACTATGCTGGCAATCCGACTAATGAAATCAGTATGTCACAAGAATCAACACAGGTAACCTGTGACTGGATTCTCTTCCCTAAACACAATGCTAGCACTATCTGAAATGTCCTGGCCTTTCCTAGCTGCCCTCAGATGTCAGTCCAGAAGACTCCTGCAGATCCTTGCCAAAGTTGTATCAGTGTCTTCAAAACTATTCTGCAGCTCAAATGACTCAAATGCCTCTGTCAAAGGAAATGGCTTGACCAGAAGGTTTATGATTCTACTTGTTATTTTTATGTTTAGTGTATGCTGGGCTAATACAGTCTGAAAGCCATATATTTGTTACGGACATTCCTCTTCCAGCATTTAATAGAGAAATATTTGCTTTACATGGTAGAAGAAGATTATTCTGAGAATAGAATTATCTCTTATCCACAAATTACTATGACTTTTCTAAAGGCTAGAAACTGTTGGGCTTTCTTTCCCCAGAAGTAGACACAAGCTTGTCTTTTTTCAAAGCAGTATTTTTTTAAAATATTTTATTTTGAATGACTGCCAAACTATCTTCCCAGTTCCCACAGTCTGGATGTCTCTATTCTCCAGCAATAGGGGACAGGTGATTACTCTTTGTATAATACTGAGATTATAATCACAGCAGTAAGAAATTCTGGTCCATAGGTTTCTACAGAAAGCAGACTTTGCCCTTCAAATGACATGTATTTTTTTGGTAAAGAAATCTAATTATTACCTTCTAGTAAACATGCTCAAAGCTATGTAGATCAGATAAGACCGCATTACCTTGGACCATCTCTAATGTAGGACAGTGCAAGGATTTTATTTCAGGTAAACAGACAGCAGATGTTCTCTACTTTCTTTTTTTTTTTTTTTTTTTTTTTCTGAGAATGTTTCAAATTTAATATCTTTGGCATCTGATGATCCATCAAAATTACACCTTGAACTCTGTAACAATTATGAGTTCTAGAAGGTGGCATAACTACATAACAATTATGCATTTTAAAAGGTGGCATAGCAACTTAAGTAACCTCTAAAATCTGATTTGATTTAAAATATTTAAGGTGAACAATCTTACACTGTGATTTAGGGTACTATTGTCAAAAATTCCCTGGAATAAGAGATGAACAGAACAGGCTGCTGTGCTCTCAGTTTGGTAGCTGTGTTGTATTATCTGTGTTGAATTTAGATAGAGTCCTTAATGCTTAAATACATATTTACACTTTATAAGATCTTATCACAAAGAAATCACTTGAAGAATCTCTATTGAGACAATATCACTGTTAATGAAAGTCCTGATTAGCTGAACTACTTCCTCCAGACTCAGAATATACAGCAAGTTAAGAATGGGAATTATTCAGTGATTCATAAAGATCCCCTGATGGTTACGAAGGAAACTGGCATTAAGTTAGGAGTGGAAGATGTAAGTGTCAAAAGCACCAAACTGTGTTTAAAAAGTGAAAATCACTGAGATTCATTTAATTACTGGACTCACTCTGAAATGCTTTATTCACTTTGTTAACCTTCCTTATGGAAATAGAACAGAAACAGTGGTCACTGTTTAGCATGATGTGGAAAGGCAGATACATGGAGAAACTCGGCAGAACTGGTGTGAAATCTGTGTTATCTTTGCCCATCTAAACTGAGTGTCCAAGGGTGGGTAGGATGTACAAACTCTAATCATGAAGCACTGAAGTCAAAATGACAACATTTTCAAGGTTACTGAGAAAATATCTTTGTTTTTTGCAGCACATTGAAATTTCTGCATTTCTGAAAATCCAGTCATTTGTTTTATATAAATACAGATATTTTTGAGCAAAATTAGCACTTCTTTAGTCATCATGAAATTTCAATGAAGTATAAGCTTGTGGAGTGACGCAGGTGATAAATGCATAACTATTTATTTCAGTTTGAAATTTGAACTCAGTGAAAAATCTTTTCTTTTTGTTACAGGGACGATATAACAGTGTATGAAGAAATGTCCCGGAAGATATTTCTCCATAATACCTCCACAAACAAGCCTGAACATACATCATAATACTAGCTACTGTTTAGCTGATTCATGCAAACACCTTTGCTCCTGTCATGGCCAGATTTAACTTCTGTTAGTTCACTACAAGGGCAGAGGCAGAGCAAGAAGTATAAAAACTAGTGTTAATAATTTTGGAATCATGGTATCAAAAGACATCGAATAACTTATTGATACCAGTGCTTGGGCTAACATTGGATGCTGTCATGAGGCCTATTCTCTGCAGAATCCGCAATGACACTTTCATCCTGAGACACTTTCTGCAGGGAGGGACAAGTAAGAGTTTCCTCTGCTCCTACACAGAAGCCTGTACAACCACAGCTAGATTTTTTTTTTTTTTTATTATTCACATATCGCCCTGCCTACTAGTGGAACAAGATAATTTCTTCTGATTTCATATGCAGATCATTCTCTGCTTGATTGTA